GTTATCAACTACAGCTCTGCATTACCTGGAGTATACCTGCAGAGGTTTCCAGGGGTCAACGCCCCCGCGGCCCGGTCTGTGACCAGGCATTCTTCACTGATTCTGATGATATAATTAGTTTCCTGGAGAGGCATCATTCCAGCATGTTTTTTCCTAGATTATTTACTAAGTTGTTTAAATTCTTACCACAAGTGGCGCTGGACAGGCACCTAAAGTCAGTAGCTGACCAGCCAGGCTGTAGTTCGTACGTTGGTTTACGTGCGGCCAGCAGTAACAGCCTGGTTGATCAGGCCTTGATCCACCACGAGGCCTGGTCACAGACCGGTTCGCGGGGGCGTTGACCCCCGAAACCTCCAGGTAAATGGTGGTTTAGTGCGGCCAGTCAAACCCCAGTAAACCTCCCGTAGTTGATGACACTCCTGTGGAGTTTTATGGAGTATTGCAATGGTGGGAGGGTTGGTGGGTGACATCATCATTACTCCATCCTCCATGAAGGTCACTCCTGAAGCCATGAACATCGCCACTCCATCCTGAAGTCTGAAGGAGGACCTTCACATGGTTGCCTCAGTGTTTACTTTCCTTGACAGTTGTTTACGTGGTTGCCTGAGGCTAGTTTTTTGTTTGTTTTGTTTCAGTTCTGATGTTATTGTTATTATTACATTCATAGGTGGAGGAGAGCTAAGCCCGTAGGGGTCATACAGCGCCCCTGTGAGAGTGGAAGGAGGGTGGAATGGAAGGTATTGATTCATAATACAGTGAACTGGAGAAGAGGTGCTATTCCCTAGATCAAGAGCCCCACACCAGCATCAGGGAACCTTCTTGGAGGGACCCTATATCAAGAGTCCCACACCAGCATCAAGGAACCTTCTTGGAGGGACCCTATATCAAGAGTCCCACACCAGCATCAAGGAACCTTCCTGGAGGGACCCTATATCAAGAGTCCCACACCAGCATCAAGGAACCTTCCTGGAGAGACCCTACATCAAAAGTTCCACACCAGCATCAAGGAACCTTCTTGGAGGGACCCTATAGAAAGAGTTCCTCACCAGCATCAAGGAGCCTTCCTGGAGGGACACTATATCAAGAGCCCTTCACCAGCATCAAGAAACCTTCCTGGAGGGACCCTAGATCAAGAGCCCTTCACCAGCATCAAGGAACCTTCCTTAGGGACCCTAGATCAAGAGCCCTTCACCAGCATCAAGGAACATTTCCTGGAGGGACCCTAGATCAAGAGCCCTTCACCAGCATCAAGGAACCTTCCTGGAGGGACCCTATATCAAGAGCCCCTCACCAGCATCAAGGAACCTTCCTGGAGGGACCCTAGATCAAGAGCCCTTCACCAGCATCAAGGAACCTTCCTGGAGGGACCCTAGATCAAGAGCCCCACACCAGCATCAAGGAGCCTCCCTACACCACCTTATTGAGAAATCAAAGGATCAATACACATCATTCTTGATCCTTCAGGTAAGATAGTGATGCTGTTAAGATGGTGATGCTGTTAAGATGGTGATGCTGTTAAAATGGTGATGCTGTTAAGATGGTGATGCTGTTAAGATGGTGATGCTGTTAAGATGGTGATGCTGTTAAGATGGTGATGCTGTTAAGATGGTGATGCTGTTAGGATGGTGATGCTGTTAAGATGGTGATGCTGTTAAGATGGTGATCTGAAAGGATAAGAGGTGGATGCTGTTAAGATGGATGATGCTGTTAAGATGGTGATGCTTTTAAAAGATGGTGATGCTGTTAAGATGGTGATGCGGGTTATGATGGTGATAACTGTTAAGATGGTGATGCTTTTAAAGATGTGATGCTGTTAAGATGGTGATGCTGTTAAGATGGTGATGCTGTTAAGATGGTGATACTGTTAAGAGGGTTTGATGCTGTTAAGATGGTGATGCTGTTAAGATGGTGATGCGTTAGATGGTGATACTGTTAAGATGGTGTGCTGTTAAGATGGTGATGCTGTTAAGATGGTGATGCTGTTAAGATGGTGATGCTGTTAAGATGATGTATGCTGTTAAGATGTGATGCTGTTAAGATGGTGATAGTGTTAAGATGGTGATGCTGTTAAGATGGTGATGCTGTTAAGATGGATGATGCTGTTAAGTGGTGATGATGTTAAGATGGTGATGCATGTTAAGATGATGATGCTGTTAAGATGGTGATTCTTTTAAAGGGATGGGTGATGCTGTTAAGATGTGATGCTGTTAAGATGGGATGATGTGTTAAGATGGTGATGCTGTTAAGATGGTGATGCTGTTAAGATGAATGTGCTGTTAAGATGGTGATGCTGTTAAGATGGTGATGCTGTTAAGGTAGTGATGCTGTTAAGATGGTGATGCTGTTAAGATAGTGATGCTGTTAAGATGGTGATGCTGTTAAGATGGTGATTCGTTAAGATGGTTATGCTGTTAAGATGGTGATTCTGTTAAGGGTGGTGATGCTGTTAAGATGGTGATGCTGTTAAGATGGTGATGTTGTTAAGATGGTGATGCTGTTAAGATGGTGATCCCTGTTAAGATGATGTACTGTTAAGATGGTGATGCTGTTAAGATGGTGATGCTGTTAAGATGGTGATGCTGTTAAGATGGTGATTCTGTTAAGATGGTGATGCTGTTAAGATGGTGATACTGTTAAGATGGTGATGCTGTTATAGTGATTCTGTTAAGATGGTGATGCTGTTAAGATGGTGATGCTGTTAAGATAGTGATGCTGCTAAGATAGTGATGCTGCTAAGATAGTGATGCTGTTAAGATAATGATGCTGCTAAGATAGTGATGCTGCTAAGATAGTGATGCTGTTAAGATAGTGATGCTGCTAAGATAGTGATGCTGTTAAGATAGTGATGCTGCTAAGATAGTGATGCTGTTAAGATGGTGATGCTGTTAAGATAGTGATGCTGTTAAGATGGTGATGCTGTTAAGATGGTGATGCTGTTAAGATGGTGATGCTGTTAAGATGGTGATGCTGTTAAGATGGTGATGCTGTTAAGATGGTGATGCTGTTAAGATGGTGATGCTGTTAAGATGGTGATGCTATTAAGGGCATTAGTAAAATCGTTTTATTTTTTATTTTTTATTAATAAAAATTTAATACATACTCGTCCACTAGTTTCTCGTATCTTTCAAAACCCTAACCATTAATATAAATCCATGTACATTATAACTCCGAAGTTATACTTGGATTAATAATGACTGTTTACTGTTAGTAAATAGAATCATGACAGCCTACAATGATACTTTAAATATTATGCAAGAAATAATATAATATATCAAGTGTCAACAAATACTGTCAGAAATCATCAGTCAGAAAATAATTTCGAACCATTGTTACGAATATATAAATTACTAACAGTATTAATAATTATGAGAAGTCGTAAGTACCTGAGAGAATACCAGGTAGTGGAAATTAACCTTGAAGAACAGTCTTTAATTTATGAAGTAAGTATATAAAGGCACAGGTACACATAAGTATAACTATATTACATAGTGTAAATTACCCAGGATACCCCCCCCCCCCGCAAAAAAAAGGTTACAGTGATTTATTATGATTAGAAGTGGAACCTAGAAATATTTGCTATGTTTAAAAACACGTCTAGCAAAGAATCACTCTCAATATATGTGTTGAAAGTCGTAGTACGAGAGAAGTAAGTTGATGTAGGCACAGCTACACATAATTACGATTATAATGGATAGTTTATTGAATGAGGTGAGTGTTAGCAAGAGCAAAGTTAGTCCATGGGGACTGTGAGAGAGTCTGAGTCAACATTCACTGTTGTGTTTAAGAAGAGTTATATTATCAGAGTAGATCCTGGGAAGAGATAGTTCTGAGGCCTGGTCTCAGACCGGGCCGCGGGGGCGTTCACCCCCGAAACCCTCTCCAGGTAAACTGCTCTAACTTATTCCCTTATACACAATTATGTAAATTAAAATAGTCATTAGATTAATTAGTTTTAAATTAGAGTTTAGTTCACCAGAATAATTCCTGGAGACATTAGTTTACTTCCAGAAATTATCCAGATTTAGTAATTCATTAGTAATAATTATAATATATATATAGAAATTTTATAGTAACACATGTTAGTATCATCAACTTATTAAAGAAAAAAAACAAAATTAATTCGATTTAGCAAGTAGAAATTGACAAACTGACGTAGACAGAGAGTGTGTTCAGCGTGAACCTCACAGTCAGCTACTGTATGTCTCTGGAGGTAAGTACTGTGTATGTCATACGGATTTAGCATGATACAACGTGCATATTAGATAAAACCTGCATAGTTATAGCTGAGGTAGCATGTAATTTAAGTTGTAATGCGCAGCTTTATATAACTCGAAGTGTAGTGCCACTGCCAGGTAGTCGTACGGTATTATTCACAGCTGTAAGACTGACGACGTGCAGACCATAGTATTGCTGAGACTCTAGCCTGGCAGAGGTTGACAACCAAGACAGTCAGGCTGGCAGAGGTTGACAACCAAGAGGTCAGGCTGGCAGAGATTGACAACCAAGAGGTCAGGCTGGCAGAGGTTGACAACCAAGAGGTCAGGCTGGTAGAGGTTGACAACCAAGAGGTCAGGCTGGCAGAGGTTGACAACCAAGAGGTCAGGCTGGCAGAGGTTGACAACCAAGAGGTCAGGCTGGCAGAGGTTGACAACCAAGAGGTCAGGCTGGCAGAGGTTGACAACCAAGAGGTCAGGCTGGAAGAGGTTGACAACCAAGACGTCAGGCTGGCAGAGGTTGACAACCAAGACGTCAGGCTGGCAGAGGTTGACAACCAAGACGTCAGGCTGGCAGAGATTGACAGCCAAGACGTCAGGCTGGCAGAGGTTGACAACCAAGAGGTCAGGCTGGAAGAGGTTGACAACCAAGACGTCAGGCTGGCAGAGGTTGACAACCAAGAGGTCAGGCTGGCAGAGGTTGACAACCAAGACGTCAGGCTGGCAGAGGTTGACAACCAAGACGTCAGGCTGGCAGAGATTGACAGCCAAGCGATTTTTTTATTGTTTTTACAGTAAACATATAATTCTCAGTAAGTGTGGCTGTGTATTGTAGCTCTGAAACCTGTGCCAGTCTGACCTGATAATATTAATCTAGTCAGATCTGATAGTGTGTAACTAGTCAGACCTGATAGTATCCCACCAATCAGACCTGATAGTATCCCACCAATCAGACCTGATATTATCCCACCAATCAGACCTGATAGTATCCCACCAATCAGACCTGATAGTATCCCACCAATCAGACCTGATAGTATCCCACCAATCAGACCTGGTAGTATCCCACCAATCAGACTGTAGTATTCCCAACAATAACTTGATGTAACCAGTCAGACCTAATAGTGTGTCACCAATCAGACCTGATAGTATCCCACCAATAGACCTGTAGTATCCCACCAATAAGACCTGGTAGTATCCCACCAATCAGACATGATAGTGTGTAACCAGTCAGACCTGATAGTATCCCACCAATCAGACCTGATAATATCCCACCAATCAGACCTGATAGTGTGTAACCAGCTAGACCTGATAATATCTAACTAATTAGACCTGATGTGTCAATCAGATCTGATGGTAAGTACCATTAGTTGACAGTAATCAATTCTTGCGAAAGAAAAGAGTGGAAGCCGAAAATTTTTTAATATCAATACTGAAAACATTACCATTAATTTCGAGATGGAGTGACCTAATGTAATCAGTCTGTATTTTGTGTATTAGCTAAATACATCATTGAAGTTACACGAGAGTTCTTATATACCAAGATATATACACAAGGTATATACACTGAGAGATGTATATTTCTCAGTGTAAACAGTCTACGAGGTCTAAAAAATAGGCTACGGTTATTTTGAAAGCTTATTTTGTTTCCTGTTTTAGGAATTAAATAATTCTTGAGTGATGGGTGTAGTTCATCAGCCTTGACCATCATGCAGTAGACAGGCTTCAAACCTCGCAGAGCAAGCGACGAGTGGACATCAGAGAGTTGTGACTTCACGGACCAGACTTCAGCATCTGATGTCTCGGTCTCTATGCCTATAGGGGGGGGGATAATAAGAAAAAAAATGAACATATTGTGCACTTACACAGGTCAAAAATATTAAAATGATTGTTAGTTAAGTGTTAATTAGATATGTAAGGGAGGTATAATAATTTTATTTATATAGGCAAATGATAATCAATTGTTATGATATAGAAGCTGTTACAGGAACCAGTGTCATTATTATTATTATTATTATTATTATTATTATTATTATTATTATTATTTTCATTATTATTATTATTATTATTATTATTATTATTATAATATTATTATTATTATTATTATTATTTTATTATTATTATTATTATTATTATTATTATTATTATTATTATTATTATTATTATTATGTTATATTTATTATTAACTATTATAATACATTTTTTTATTAATATTATTTTTATAATAATATATATTAATGTCTTGATGCTCAAAACTTTCGGGAAAACACAAGCCTCATTGATCACATGAGCGCCATGTGTTGGTGTCAGAAACACCTACGAGTTGTATGTTTTAGTATATCACGTGAAGTATACAGGATATACACACCCAGAGGTATGTGTCTCGGTGTGTACACACCCAGAGGTACGTGTCTCTATGTATACACACCGATAGTTTATTCTATTCTCCTTTGTTTTTAGATATTAAAACATTCTTGCCTGGTGGTGTGGAGGTGACACGCAGCCTTCATGACCCTCGTGTAGTCGACAGGCTTTAAACCCCATCAACCAAGCCATGAATCGAAAGAGTCCTGTGTTGCTGGATGAGATAGTATGGCCAATAGACGATGTTGAACACCAGGAAGGAAAAGGGAAAGAGGCCTCGACACAGGCGATCAAGAGCCCGGGCATAATCCATGTAGGTCTTGGGCGATTTACCAGCAGCATCCTCGACATCTTCGGGCTGTTGAAAGATCCGGGGGAGTAAATAATTAGTGAAGCTACGTGTGGAAGGCTCAGGCTGGTCAGGATACCCATGCATGTCTGATACAATTTTTTTTTACACATTTTATGGTTCCAGTTTCATGAACTATCAGTGCTCAGTAATAACCCACATGGAGACACAAACTAACAAGATTAATAGATCTGTATATTTCGACCCACTTCCGGGATCCTCTTCAGCAGAAGAGGATCCCAGAAGTGGGTCGAAATATACAGATTATTTCATAATGTAAAACAACAAAGTATGTGCAGAAGTAAAAAAAAAAAAAGTGAAGCTTAATAGTTGCTAGCAAGGAAAAAATAAAAGGATATCTCCCATCCACTAAACGTTACAGTGAACTACTGTATTATGAACCTAAAATAATGACTTGACTTGTTATTAGGAGGTTAAAGAATCCTTACTGGATGTTTTTTTCGTTACATTAACCTATTTTTAATTAGTATCGAATTATTAGTATAACAGCAGATACAATATTCACTTGACGCCTCAGACAGCCAAGCAAACGTAAGGATTTAAAGCTCTTAATGATATATACATGGAGAGACATGCATCTCTGAGTTTATATATACCAAGAAGCGTGCATCTCTCAGTGTATATACACAGAGATATATACTTCAGAGTGAAATATCTTTGATTTTTTAATTCTCTCGAAAATTTTGACGCAAAACTGTATAAAAAGAGACAAGATATGTGAATGTTGAAAAATGCGAAAATACAATATATGGATGTCTTACTTCACGTAAACAGTGTCGTAGCTAAGTGAACTGAAGCGAGTAATAGTTAATTACCATGCATACATGCTCCTGCGTGCGTCCACAGCGTCCTTTTACGATTTAATTTCTCTTTGAAAATAATAGTTAACAAATATGAAGATAGTTTCTCTACATATGACAGCTGAACTATTATAGTTCTCTATACAGCTTCACAGTTGTTTAATTTATTCAACGTCAACATGTGAATCTCTAGTATCCTGTAGTACAATCTAATCTCTTGGCCACAATATCCGGTGTGACATTTATGGTGCTGCTGACATATTCTTGAAGGAATTATTCCCCGCCGGCCGTCCTTTCCTCTCTTTTTAATTACTTTTTTGACGTGGCCACAAAAGAGGTTTACCTTTGCAGCTTCCAGCAACATAATCCTCCATACTTCCAGTTGCCCGAGTGGGGCTCCAGACTTTTCCAGGCATCACAGAACGACCTATCAAATGTTTTCTCGTCATTAAGTTTCCGCTACTATCGCACATTGCAAGCAACAATAAAAATCTTATTGGTTCAGCTATCATACTGAGAAAACTTGAATTTTCATATATTAAGCCATTTTCTTACCACAAATTTGCGAAACCGGAAAAGGACTTTTTTCTGGTACGCTGCATAACAAGTGTATAACACAGGAAAACACAAACACAAGTCAAACTAAAACTTTAACGAAATAAAAATATATTGAAAAATTTATTCTAGTGTTAGTACTTGTTTTTCTTGTTCATCTTTCTCCTCCTTCTCCTCCTCATCTTCGTCAAGACCAACACCATGAACGCCCACCTCTTCAGCGTCAGAGCCGGCCAGCTGCACCGCGTCACAGGGTCATACAAGGACCACGTCACAGGGTCACACAAGGACCATGTCACAGGGGTCACACAGGAAGAACAACCAACAACAAGACAGTTTAGGGAGACACAGGGAAGGTAATATTGTAATAATCAAATATTCTAAAATTGAACTCACGTTGACTCATATCTCTCAGTTAGACGTTGCAATCATGAGTATAGTTGATTATATGATTGATTATATGATTTGCGTGATTGCAAATACGGAAAAATACCACAGTGAAAATAGGAAATAATACCAAAGTTTTAAGATGCCGCCCGGGTAGCCTGTAGAGGTATTGATAATAATGTAACTGGTATTCCAAACGAGAGGAGAATGAAATTAGTTCTTAGCTTGTTACAACCACGTGTGTCCACGTCAGGAGTGACGTCTAGTGCTACTAGACGCCTGTTGTATGTGACATCTGTGGTCCAGTGGATTAGGGCGTCTGGAATTTTAACAGGCTACCCGGGTGGAGTGTATATATATATATATATATATATATATATATATATATAATATATATAATATATAATATATATATATATATATATATATATATATATATATATATATATATATATATATATATATTATATATATATATATATATAAACAACGCTGCACTAGCCAAGGACTCGAACCCATGCTGCTTTGGCCTGCCTCATGGTGGGAGAAAACGCATGACGCCCTAATCCACTGGGAAAGATTGTATGGTCCAGTGGATTAGGGTGTCATGCGTTTTCTCCCACCACGAGGCAGGCCAAAGCAGCATGGGTATCGAGTCCTGTGCTAGCACAGTGTTGTTATTGATCAATACCACTGTTTCGTAGTCACAATAATATATATACAGTATATATTATATTATATATATGTATAAATAATTTAATATGTTTAAATATAATGTTGTTGTGTGTGTGGTGTGTTGTGGGTTCGTGTGTATAACATAAAGTGTAGATGAATGGTTCAGAGAACCTACATGTTATTGAATTAGACACATGTGCAACTCTTGGGTATCTTTATTGAGGGAACGTTTCGCCACACATCGACTCAAGGCTGAGGGACTGATTACCTCATTCTCCTCCTGTTCTTCAAGTTTCTCCTTTGTATGGACTGATGAAGCCACTGTGTGGCGAAACGTTTCCTCAATAAAGATACCCAAGAGTTGCACATGTGTCTAATTCAATAACATAAGTTGACCAGTGAATAAATGGTCCAGTGTGAATGACACATTCATAAGAGCAGTTTCTTCAGGATCTGCCACAATGAAAAACATAATTTTCTCGATATCATTCACTGAAAGTCTGTAAAATCAGATTTAATAACTGTTTTTAAAACAATTAGCAATCCTAAATAGCTGTTGCGCCTACAATCTATGTTTTAACTTAATACTATAAAAACAAATGACAAACTCGCACTGACGCTTCCTTAAAACACTCGAAGTTTAATTTCTAATCAAAAAAGTCATGCATTTTCACTAACATTTCTAATTAAGAGACACTGAAATGAAGAAAGTCATATTAAAGCCGTGAAATATTTGATTCAATATAGTGACTGTCTCCCATAGACGTGACTCGAATAAACAAAACACATTCACCATCATTCAGACTATCCTTGTCTTTCCAGAGGCACTCAGGTACGATAGTAAATAAGAATATTAAGTTATCCTCAAGGACTGTATTATGCCAGACATAAAGGGAAATAATGAACAAATATCACATAAGTTACTTGTAGATTACCTACGTAATCTAATCCAAAGACTTCGTATTCTGCATCGTAGTCTCTAGGAGACTTCACTTCCATCTTCCTGAGCTACAAGAAAGACTGGTTCAACGGTCGTCCTTCGATATCGTGTTTCTTCCAGTGCAAAACTGTATCCCGTTGCTCTAATTTACACCTACAGACTCTTGTAGTGTTCCCTACCTCAAGGTGTGTTTTAGTTCCTCTTGTATCTCGTCTGTCTCACTCATCTTGTATCTCGTCTGTCCCACTCATCCGTCTGTCCCACTCATCCGTCTGTCCCTCTCATCCGTCTGTCCCTCTCATCCGTCTGTCCCTCTCATCCGTCTGTCCCACTCATCCGTCTGTCCCTCTCATCCGTCTGTCCCACTCATCTTGTATCTCGTCTGTTCCTCTCATTTTGAGAAGGTTCTATATTTCAGCTTCATTCTTCTCTCCTTTTCAATTCCCAAAGTCTCGCTTCTCTTCATTAACTCAGAGCAAATATTTATTGATCTATATTAAAAATAATTTTTTTCTAACTTCACAACAATAACTCAACTTTAACAAGTTTATTTAGGTTCAGGTACACACAGGTACAATTATCACACATAGTTTAATACATGTGTAGAGGTACACGATGCTATTGTTCATGGTCTTACAGTCCCAGGATGACTAACACACCTACCTAGCATTTTCACAGCTCTTTTCATCACTTAACTACCACAGAAACAGCGACTATAAATGACATAAGCTGAAGGGGAATGAAGAAATAAGGTAAAGGAGATACAGAGGTAACTTACAGCCTTAGGAATCCTAAATATTGTTTGACCGTCCTCGCTGATTTTCTTGTTTGCGAGCCAGTTAGCCAGAGTGAACTCCAGCAGAGCTCCGAACACCATGATCATACACATGCCGATCCATACATCAATAGCCTGTCAAAAATACTAGGATTAGGTAAACGATATCTAACAAACTAGCTTACAATGAGAATGAGGTAATTTAGTGAGAGGAGATGAGTCTTTAATATCTATTTCAAATTATTTTTTAATTATGTGATTTTGTAGAGTAATACTGGTTTGCTTGTCTTGTAAATTATGCACGATTTTTTCTCAATAAAAACAGACCTTGACACAGAACATAAAACATGGTAATACGTACCTTGACATAGGAGACAGGAGGCAGCTGTGCCCTGATACCAGAAGCTAGAGTAGTGAGGGTGAGCAGGGTAGTGACGCCCAGGGACACCCTGCCAGGGACAGCGTTGGGGTCCAGCCAGAAGGACACCCACGAGATGGACACGATGAGAATGGTAGGAACGTACGTCTGAAGGACATGGTAGCCGTTCTGACGTCTCAGACTGAAGTGCACCATCAACCCACTGAAATTACCTGCAGTACAGAGGAAGTTACAGCTCGCTAGAGTCAAAGTTCTCCTCCAGTGGTATTACGACCTTATATATGGTATTACTGACCTTATATATGTATTACTTACCATATATATGCTATTATTCACATATATGGTATTACTGACCTTACATATGGTATTACTCACCTTAAAAATGGTATTATTGACCTTATATATTGTATTACTGATCTTATTTACGAATTACTGACCTGTGACGAAATATTGTGTGTAGTTGTCAGTGGAATAGTTGATGAGGTCAAACTGGGCGATCTCCAGTTGGTCAGGCAGGTCAATGGGGTTCACGTCCACCCACTTATAAACAATGACATCATCTGTGTTGGCATCTGTAATGACATTATCTTTGCTGACATCTAGGAAAGATGAGGTTTTTATTATGATAAGAAAGACGTTTTGTGTATGTTGGGGTGAACGTTATCTGTTGCATTTACCATATCAGCTGAATGTTATCTCTTTCATCTATCATACCTGTCATACGTTATCTATCACACCTACCATACTGTGGCATGCAAAGAGTACGTAACCTTTATTCGGCGCATGTACACACCCTCATTGAAAGGCTATCACCCCCAACCAGCGAACCAGGTAATAAGGGTTGATGATGGGGCCCCGTCGTTCAATCAGTACCCAGGTTCCAGCCAATAAGAAGATGGTTTTGGCAATCGCAGAGGTGTTGTGGGTACCACACACCTGTCTGCCCTTGTCATTCCCATTCTAGAGCTGATTGAAGCACGGTCTGCTCTCTAGTGGCTTCTATTCTGTCTTGCTTACCGTGGAGTGCACTAATACCTATGGCTGACCGTAGTGTATATAGTGTACATAATTCTGTTCTTACTTGGTGAAGGATAAGTCAAAAGTTTTTCTGCTGTGTTTACTTTGGTCCATTTTACACCCAGGATAACAGGCCTTTGGGACTCCTGGGTTTTAATACATATCTGTACGTGAGTATGTGTATAAATCATAGAAGGAGCAGTGCATCATGCATTGATATGTAAGGAAGAAACAACATCATGCAGAGATGTGTAGGGATGTAACACCATCATACATTTAACATCATGTAATTATGTACAGAGAAGAACACATACCTTAACATCATGCAGTGATGTGCAGGGAAGGAACAACATCATGCAGTGATGTGCAGGGAAATGCAGCATTATACAGACAAAAGCCACAATAACAAACTATGAAAGAGCGAGTCTTGAGCATAAATAACCTCGTCATGACACGTTTCGCTGTTTTATAGGCGAAATGTTGCGTTAGTAAAGACAGGTCAGTGTTGCACATGTGTCCTAAAATTCAGTGTTGCACTTGTGTCCTACAGGTGTGTTGCACATGTGTCCTACTCATCAACTTGTTATGATGTACACAACTTATGTGATCAGTGTGACTCACGAGATCGTATTAACACCACTGGAGGCAAACCAGGGAACTGGTGGGGATTGAACCCATGGCGGATGAGTCGTAAAACTCCAGGCCAGTGTGCAAACCAGTGGGCCAGCTGAATCTTATTGTAGCCAGCTGGCCCAGTGGCTTACGCACTGGCCTGGAGTTTGACGACTAACTCGCCATGGTTTCAAACCTCACCCGTTCCGTGATTTGTTATGATTAATATGGAGTTCCTCAGAGTGGTTGCCTGTGGCCACGAAAGCTGGCCATGGCCAATCTTACCTCTCTGACAGTACACTGATAATTATACACAATTACCTACGTAATTTAAAGATGATCAATGGTAGGTAAGGATGTTTATGATAGTTTAATATGTTTCATAAGAGTGGAGAGACACAAGAGCCCAAGAGAGTGTCAATGGGGCAATTGTCAACCCCGAGCCTTCAGTTGTTTTTCTGAACTACTGAATGTGTTGAAGAAGACAGCAATCAGCCATGAATAACCGTAATGTACAACACACTGACTGAAACACTGAAGTAAAGAACCTAACTGAAACACTGATGTAACAGTAGTCTTGCTTTCCTGACGGAGATCCACAATCCAGAAGAGTAAATTAATGTCCGATATTCTCTGCTTAATCAATGGCTTTCCAGTAGGCTTATAATCCATGCCATTTATATTTTAAGATCCATTGTAAACATTCTAGGAAATAAAGGTTTTAATCTCTCTCAAAATCAGTTTTAAAGATAAATCTCACTGGAGTACTTCTCAACACTTCCTTCACTAACTTATCAGTCAAGGGCGTCTGTATCTCACTGTCTCTTACTGCCACTGCTGTTGTCTCTTATGGTTGACTGTCCTCACTGACTCTTGACTCACAGCTGATGACCCTCCATCTACCATTAAAGGCCATAAATACATTCTTCAATCTCAGAAGCCTGGAATGCTTCACAGATTCTTCCAGGCCAGTACGTTACGATGTACACAAGGTCAGGAGGGAGGACCACTCACGCCTCTGCAACACACCTGCTACTGGGAGGTCATCTGCACGAGTTAATTATTTCAAAAGGTGTGAGTGAAGCCTGGGGAGACATACATGAGGGTGTAGTGCTCTGGGGAGGCAAACATTGGGGCGTAGTACTCTAGGGAGACAAACACGGGGGTATAGTACTCACAGGAGCTGATGGAGGTGCCACAGAACTGAGCATCGAAGGGGTACTTCTCGAACTCCATACTGCAGGCTAGTGTCAGCGTCACCCTGTCAGGGGGGGGGAGACTGATTCAACGCCCACGCTCACACACGCCCATGCCACCGCCCACACACACACACACCGCCTACACCACCAGACACACCCCCGCCCATACAAACACAGAAACCGTCAATATTCTTGAAACGACCAAAGGCGCAAGCTAAAAGCTCTTTCTCTCGGCTGTCTAGCAACCTTCAGCAGGATACTACAGGACGTTTATTTAACAGGCAGGTGAGAAAATTACTACCACGTAACACATATCCTGTTGTTTTTTTACCGTGGGCTTGAGAGTACACATATTGTGGGCCTATAAAACATACATTGTGTTGATTTAAACTAAAACAACCAGATAAAGTCAGAGTGATATATTTCGACAAGACTAACAATTCCCACCACCTGATTTGTGGGATACTAGTGAATTGTAACAAAAATAATAGTTACAGTCATAGCAATAATTTTTAGAGGGGCGGAGGGGTAAGCCAGTGGAAGGCCTCGGTCAGATGACCAAAAGCTCCAGCTGCGGGTCATCATATGACTAAGACCCACTTCAAGAAACGCTTGTCCTGTTTTCTGATAGAGATTACCTAACCTAATCTAACCTAACCTAACCTAATCTAGCCTCACCTAATCTAACCTAACCTAACCTAATCTAGCCTCACCTCACCTAACCTAACCTAATCTAGCCTCACCTAATCTAACCTAACCTAACCTAACCTAATCTAGCCTCACCTAATCTAACCTAACTTAACCTAACCTAACCTAACCTAACCTAACCTAACCTAGTGAACTGTTGCAGCCACGGTACTGTAATATTTATATCCTTCTTCGACTCTCCACTGACAAAAAAATATCTCAGGGCCAGTCTCCTCAGCAGAGTAAAAACATCAAAAACATCAGTGCTAACATTCACTACAAATAATAGACCTTGCAGTAGGCAATGTTGTGTTTGTTTGCAGTCTCCTATGTAAACAAAGACTTAACTTCTATCAGACTCGTAAAAGAATTTACATGTAAGTGTTTCTAAGTTTTCTAAGATCATCTTCAAAAATAAACATTCACGTGCCTCTAAGATCATCTTCAAAAATAAACATTCACGTGCCTCTAAGGTCATCTTCAAAAATAAACATTCACGTGCCGCTAAGATCATCTTCAAAAATAAACATTCACGTGCCTCTAAAATCATCTTCAAAAATAAACATTCACAGTTGCAGTCTACCGTGCAGATATAAACACAGAGATTATGCATAGAGGTGAGGAACTATGTAGTGTGTGGAACGATAAATGGTTAGGTGCAGACGGTAGAGGAATCACTGCAGCAGCAGCAGCAGCAGCAGTAATGACAGCAACAGCAGCAGTCACTGCAGCAGCAGCAGTCACTGAAGCAGTAATCATTTCAGCAGCAGCAGCAGTCACTGCAGCAGCTGCAATCACTGTGTAAGCAGTCACTGCCGCAGCTACCATCACTGTGCCAGCAGTCACTGCAGCAGCACCAGCAGCAGTGACAGTAGCAGTAGTCAGGGTACTCACAGGAGGCTAGGGCGGTGTCACACAACTGCTCGTCAAAGGGGAAGTGCTTAAGTTGCATGTTGCAGGAGAGCTTCAATGTGAGCCTGCAAGTGACACCACCAGGTCAGTGACACTACTAGGTCAGTGACACCCCCAGGTCAGTGACACCACCAGGTCAGTAACACCACCAGGTCAGTGACACTACTGGGTCAGTGACACCCCCAAGTCAGTGATACCACCGGGTCAGTGGCACCACCAGGTCAGTGACGCCACTAGGTCAGTGAAACCACCAGGTCAGTGACACCACCAAATCAGTGACACCACCAGGTCAGTGACACCACCGAGTCAGTGAAATCACCAAGTCAGTGACACCATCAGGTCAGTGACACTACTGGGTCAGTGACACCCCCAAGTCAGTGATACCACCGGGTCAGTGACACCACTAGATCAGTGACACCACCGGGTCAGTGACACCACCAAGTCGGTGACACCACCAGGTCAGTGATAACACGGTGACTTACACTGGGAGGATAGTGTGTCACTGTGACTTACACGGGGAGGCTAGGGGGAGAGAGGATATGGATAGGTTACCTGCTAGGTGGGGAGGCTAGTAAGAGAGGAAAAGAGAGTTGCTGGAGAGGTTAGAAGGATGGTTTACCCAAGATGGATAGGGAAGGGTGGTTGGGATAGGTCAGATAAGGAGGGGGAAGAGGAACAAGAGGAAGAAGATAAGAAAGAGAAGGAAGAGGGAGAAGTATGCGATTGGTCGCTTGTTGTGGGTTGTTGGTGTCATCTGGTGTCAGCTGGTGTCATCTGGTGTCAGCTGGTGTCAGTTAGTGTCAGCTTGTGTCAGTTGGTGTCAGCTGGTGTCAGCTAGTGTCAGGTTAGCAAGAAGGAGCCACTGTTACTAGGCAAAGAGTGCGACAGAAAGAGACCGCCAACTCGTGGAGTGGTGCCAGTAACACCACAGCATGAACGTACTTGGGTACCCAGGGATGCCCAAAATGGGCACTACACACCTCTAGGTATATCGGCCATAAGTGCCAAAGTGTCAGCAATGCAAGTCTTTAAGTGTCATCAACAAGCTAAGTGTCAAGACACTTACACAGGTCCCTACACTTCACTAGGAACACACACATGTGACGGGTGTAAGTGAATGTTGGAGGGTGATGACCGCAGAGATTACCAACACAGCATCTCGCCAGTTACAGGTGCACCTTGACCAGGTGTGTAGGGTACATGTGCTGGGGTCGAGTCTTAGCTCCTGGCTCCGCTTCTTAATTGACTGTAATTGAGTCTATGCCCCTTCTAGCCTCGTGGGGCCTATCGTACCTATTCTGAAAGCTGCGTGTGTGGGAGTTTGTCTCTCCCGAGGGTCAGGGAACGTGTAAGTGTTGACAATTGTAAAGGTGTGTGCGTGTGTGTGTGTGTGTGTGTGTGTGTGTGTGTGTGTGGTGTGGTGTGTGTGTGTGTGTGTGTGTGTGTGTGTGTGTGTGTGTGTGTGGTGCGTGCGTGTGTGTGTGTGTGTGTGTGTGTGTGTGTGTGTGTGTGTGTGTGTGTGTGTGTGTGTGTGTGTGTGTGTGTGTGTGTGTGTGTGTGTGTGTGTGTGTGTGACCACGAGGAGAGAGGAAGAGAGGACAGGGAAGAAAAGAGAAATAGGAGGGAGGGAAAAGAGAGGAAAAGGGGAGAGAGAGAGAGAGAGAGAGAGAGAGAGAGAGAGAGAGAGAGAGAGAGAGAGAGAGAGAGAGAGAAGAGAGAGAGAGAGAGAGAGAGAGAGAGAGAGAGAGTAGGGGGCGAGGTCAACAGAAACCAACAGGTTAACAGGTAGTTGAGGTCACTTATGACCAACCATCAGCTGGGCAACATGACATGAACAATAAGTCAGCAGGTGTCACCAAGTTAGAAATTTTTATTACATATATAAAAACATTTAAAAAAAAATCGGCAGCAGATGCCAAATACCACGAAAAAAATAGCAATTACTAGGTAAAATATATTATTATTATTATTATTAATATTATTATTATTATTATTATTATTATTATTATTATTATTATTATTATTATTATTATTATTATTACTAATATTATTTGAAGGCACTAGTAAATATTAACTGGACAAAATTATATAATTGTAAGCGAAGCGCTGATTAATCAGCGTCAGAAGTGATGCAGGCTTGATCCTCCGTACCACAAGAAAGAGAGAGAGAGAGTGACCTACCTCATGCTATACAGAACGTCACCATTGCGATGTAGTCTGACAAGTATGTTAGGCATGGTGACCTGATGTACCTCTGCATCCTTCACGTTGTTGAAGTATGTATCTGGCTTCCAGATCTTGGCTTGTATCTGTGGGCAGGCAGGAGTGTGGCTTAGTGACCTGTGGGCAGGCAGGGGTGTGGCTTAGTGACCTGTGGGCAGGCAGGGGTGTGGCTTAGTGACCTGTGGGCAGGCAGGGTGTGGCTTAGTGACCTGTGGGCAGGCAGGGGTGTGGCTTAGTGACCTGTGGGCAGGCAGGGGTGTGGCTTAGTGACCTGTGGGCAGGCAGGGTGTGGCTTAGTGACCTGTGGGCAGGCAGGGTGTGGCTTAGTGACCTGTGGGCAGGCAGGGGTGTGGCTTAGTGACCTGGGGGGCAGGCAGGGTGTGGCTTAGTGACCTGTGGGCAGGCAGGGTGTGGCTTAGTGACCTGTGGGCAGGCAGGGTGTGGCTTAGTGACCTGTGGGAGGCAGGGGTGTGGCTTAGTGACCTGTGGGCAGGCAGGGAGTGGCTTAGTGACCTGTGGGCAGGCAGGGGTGGCTTAGTGACCTGTGGGCAGGCAGGGTGTGGTTTAGTGACCTGTGGGCAGGCAGGGTGTGGCTTAGTGACCTGTGGGCAGGCAGGGTGTGGCTTAGTGACCTGTGGGCAGGCAGGGGTGTGGCTTAGTGACCTGTGGGCAGGCAGGGGTGTGGCTTAGTGACCTGTGGGCAGGCAGGGTGTGGCTTAGTGACCTGTGGGCAGGCAGGGGTGTGGCTTAGTGACCTGTGGGCAGGCAGGGTGTGGCTTAGTGACTGTGGGCAGGCAGGGGTGTGGCTTAGTGACCTGTGGGCAGGCAGGGTGTGGCTTAGTGACCTGTGGGCAGGCAGGGTGTGGCTTAGTGACCTGTGGGCAGGCAGGGTGTGGCTTAGTGACCTGTGGGCAGGCAGGGGTGTGGCTTAGTGACCTGTGGGCAGGCAGGGGTGTGGTTAGTGACCTGTGGGCAGCAGGGGTGTGGCTTAGTGACCTGTGGGCAGGCAGGGGTGTGGCTTAGTGACCTGTGGGCAGGCAGGGTGTGGCTTAGTGACCTGTGGGCAGGCAGGGGTGTGGCTTAGTGACTGTGGGCAGGCAGGGGTGTGGCGTTAGTGACCTGTGGGCAGGCAGGGGTGTGGCTTAGTGACCTGTGGGCAGGCAGGGGTGTGGCTTAGTGACCTGTGGGCAGGCAGGGGTGTGGCTTAGTGACCTGTGGGCAGGCAGGGTGTGGCTTAGTGACCTGTGGGCAGGCAGGGGTGTGGCTTAGTGACCTGTGGGCAGGCAGGGGTGTGGCTTAGTGACCTGTGGGCAGGCAGGGGTGTGGCTTTAGTGACCTGTGGGCAGGCAGGGGTGTGGCTTAGTGACCTGTGGGCAGGCAGGGGTGTGGCTTAGTGACCTGTGGGCAGGCAGGGGTGTGGGTTAGTGACCTGTGGGCAGGCAGGGGTGTGGCTTAGTGACCTGTGGGCAGGCAGGGGTGTGGCTTAGTGACCTGTGGGCAGGCAGGGGTGTGGCTTAGTGACCTGTGGGCAGGCAGGGGTGTGGCTTAGTGACCTGTGGGCAGGCAGGGGTGTGGCTTAGTGACCTGTGGGCAGGCAGGGGTGTGGGTTAGTGACCTGTGGGCAGGCAGGGGTGTGGCTTAGTGACCTGTGGGCAGGCAGGGGTGTGGGTTAGTGACCTGTGGGCAGGCAGGGGTGTGGCTTAGTGACCTGTGGGCAGGCAGGGGTGTGGCTTAGTGACCTGTGGGCAGGCAGGGGTGTGGGTTAGTGACCTGTGGGCAGGCAGGGGTGTGGGTTGTTAGTGGACCTGTGGGAGGCAGGGGTGTGGGTTAGTGACCTGTGGGCAGGCAGGGGTGTGGCTTAGTGACCTGTGGGCAGGCAGGGGTGTGGGTTAGTGACCTGTGGGCAGGCAGGGGTGTGGGTTAGTGACCTGTGGGCAGGCAGGGGTGTGGGTTAGTGACCTGTGGGCAGGCAGGGGGTGTGGGTTAGTGACCTGTGGGCAGGCAGGGGTGTGGGTTAGTGACCTGTGGGCAGGCAGGGGTGTGGGTTAGTGACCTGTGGGCAGGCAGAGGTGTGGGTTAGTGACCTGTGGGCAGGCAGGGGTGTGGGTTAATGACCTGTGGGCAGGCAGGGGTGTGGGTTAGTGACCTGTGGGCAGGCAGGTGTGTGGCTTAGTGACCTGTGGGCAGGCAGGGGTGTGGGTTAGTGACTGTGGGCAGGCAGGGGTGTGGCTTAGTGACCTGTGGGCAGGCAGGGGGTGTGGCTTAGTGACCTGTGGGCAGGCAGGGGTGTGGGTTAGTGACCTGTGGGCAGGCAGGGGTGTGGGTTAGTGACCTGTGGGGAGGCAGGGGTGTGGGTTAGTGACCTGTGGGCAGGCAGGGTGTGGCTTAGTGACCTGTGGGCAGGCAGGGGTGTGGGTTAGTGACCTGTGGGCAGGCAGGGGTGTGGGTTAGTGACCTGTGGGCAGGCAGGGGTGTGGGTTAGTGACCTGTGGGCAGGCAGGGGTGTGGGTTAGTGACCTGTGGGCAGGCAGGGGTGTGGGTTAGTGACCTGTGGGCAGGCAGAGGTGTGGGTTAGTGACCTGTGGGCAGGCAGGGGTGTGGGTTAATGACTGTGGGCAGGCAGGGGTGTGGGTTAGTGACCTGTGGGCAGGCAGGGGTGTGGGTTAGTGACCTGTGGGCAGGCAGGAGTGTGGGTTAGTGACCTGTGGGCAGGCAGGGGTGTGAGTTAGTGACCTGTGGGCAGGCAGGGGTGTGGGTTAATGACGTGTGGGCAGGCAGGGGTGTGGGTTATTAACCTGTGGGCAGGCAGGGGTGTGGGTTAGTGACCTGTGGGCAGACAGGGGTGTGGGTTAGTGACTTGTGGGCAGGCAGGAGTGTGGGTTAGTGACCTGTGGGCAGGCAAAGGTGTGGGTTAGCGACATGTGGGCAGGCAGGGGTGTGGGTTAGTGACCTGTGGGCAGGCATGGGAGTGTGTTAGTGACCTGTGGGCAGGCAGGGGTGTGGGTTAGTGACCTGTGGGCAGACAGGAGTGTAGGTTAGTGACCTGATGGCAGGCAGGGGTGTGGGTTAGTGACCTGTGGGGAGGCAGGGGTGTGGGTTAGTGACCTGTGGGCAGACAGGGGTGTGGGTTAGTAACCTGTGGGCAGGCAGGGGTGTGGGTTAATGGCCTGTTGGCAGGCAGGGGTGTGGGTTAGTCACCGGTGGGGAGGCAGGGGTGTGGGTTAGTGACCTGTGGGCAGGCAGGGGTGTGGGTTAGTGACCTGTGGGCAGGCAGGGGTGTGGGTTAGTGACCTG